TAAAATTATAAAAAAAAAAGAAAAATAAAATTAAAAAAAAAAAAAAGAAAACTCCCAGAGGACAAGAACAGCCTCATTTTTCTTCTATCTCCAAGCCTGCAGCCCAGTGCATATTTCATTCATTCACTCAATGAACATCTACTGAGTTCACATAATGGAACAGTACCTGAGACAGTGCATTACGCATTCAAAACGCTTCCTGAACTGAACACCACTAGTTTCAGATCTCTACGCCAGGAAGTCTCAGTTAACATTCATGCCCCATGTTTTAAATTCCCCAGATTGAGACTTTATCCTTTCTTGGTGTGCTAATCCGGAAACAAAAGCTCTGAAGTTTAGCCTTTTAATGTTTTGTCTATGTAAACGCCTCTCCTTTGCCCCTGCTAATTCCTTAACATGCACCCCAGCGCCACGTTTTGGGGGACTTCAAATGAGGATAGTAAAATCTAAGCAGCCTGGCGGTGCAGGGACTTTCCTGGGGACTCTGAAGGGCGCCGGTGGCATCAAATCGTGGCAGCCAGGAAGGCATCACAGATCAGGGAGCCCTCGCAGCCTCCACTCCACTGAGCCGGTCCCAAGCTCCCGCAGGACCCGCGCTCGCTTCTCTCGCTGGGCCTAGGGCCGAGCCCCGCCCACCTGCCCCCGCCCCATACAGGCCCCGCCCCATACAGGCCCCGCCCCGCCTGGCCCCGCCCCGGCGCGCGCCCGGACCCGGCCCGTCTGGCAGGAAAGGGCGGGCCCGGCGCCACCCTCCACGCAGCTGCTGGTGTGGACTCGGGCCGGCGCGCCGCGCGAGCGGGATGAGCGCGCGCCCGGGCCTGTGACCGCCGTGGCGATGGACTGCGGCTTCGTCGCGGGCGGGAGATCGAAGCGCCCGCCGGGCCGCCGGCGGCTTGTGCTCTTCCTGCCTTCAGGCGGCTGCGGAAGCCCGGGCGGCCGCGGCGTCCCGGCGCGCTACTGCCTGTCAGCGCTGTCCGTGGGTCTGGGGGCGCTGAAGCCTCGCGCCCCGGCGGCCCCCCGCGGCGCGTCACGTGCCTCCCCGCTGCTCCTCCTCCTGCTTGTGCCCTCCCCGCGCCTGGCCACCGTCGCCCAGCGCCGGCCCCTAGCGGACCGGGAGCGCTCGCGCCTGGGGCCCTCTGTCCCCGCGGCTAGCCGCGGCGGCGCGGGAAGGTGCCTGCGGGGCCTCGCCCCGGGCGTCGCCTGGGCCGCCGGCGCCCTCCACCTGTGCCGCGGCCGAGTGGCCGCCATCACTTCGTCCAGGAGAGGTGAGGACCGCGCGGCCGGGGCAGCAGGGGGCTCGTCTCGCCGGGCCGGGGGCGGGACCAGCTTTGGCTTTGACCTTCCGGGCAGGACGGGACGGGGAGGCTCGGCGACCCAGAGGTCGGATGAGCGGAGGTCGCCGCGCTTCTCCGGGCGTGGGACGAAGGTCTGTCTGCCCCCGCCCTGGTGACCCGGAGTCCGGGGCACAAGGTGTGTTGGCTGCGGTTGGCGGGGATGCCGGGAGGGCGGTGCGCGCTGGGCAGGGAGCTGGTGCTCGCGGGCGGGGGGAGCCGCCGGATGGGCGCCGGTGACGCGTCCCTCGTGTCGCCACTCGGGTGCGGGCGCCTGCGGGAGATTCTGCGAGATTGAGGAGCGAAACTCTGGGAACTGCAGTTTCACTTCCGACTGTCGTGGATTTATTAACTCACTGAACACTAGTTGCCTGTTCTGCGCTTGGCTGGCGCTTTTCTGGGTACTTGGGAAAAATCAGAAAAGTCTGGGACCTTCACTCTAGTACCGGAGATGATGTAGATAGATAGCTACAATTTATGTGTACGCATATAATTTACATATGATTACGTACGGAAGTGAAAAATACCGTAGGGGAAAAATGGAGGTGGTAAGGCTTAGGAAGTGAGGTGGGTCTCCAGCAATGAACTTAAATGGGATTATCAGAATAGTTTATATTGAGAAGGTGGCATTTTGGTTAATCATCAAATTGTTGATGAAAATATCATTTGGGGTAATCTTTACTAGCAAAGGGCAAAAATACCACTTTGGGTGGTCTATCATCTCAATCCATAGTCATCAGTAACCACACTGATGGCTCCCCCTCCATCTTTTTCTTAAGAGAAAAGCCCAGTAAATGTTGACTGTTCTGTTGTTTTTTTTTTTTTTTTTTTTTTTAGAAATTTTTCCCCCGTGTCTTTTTTTTTTTTTTAAGATTTTATTTGTTTATTTGACAGAGAGATCACAAGTAGGGAGAGAGGCAGGCAGAGAGAGAGAGGAGGATGCAGGATCCCTGCTGAGCAGAGAGCCTGATTCCGGGCTTGATCCCAGGACCCTGAGATCATGACCTGAGCCAAAGGCAGAGGCTTAACCCACTGAGCCACCCAGGCGCCCTGTTGACAATTTCTAAAGTATAAAAATATCCACATCTGGGGAAAGACTGGAAGGACAAAAAAGTGAAGGAAGGAAGCTTTACATACAAAGTGTGGGGAATGAGTGGTGAACTCTGTCAGTGTTCTGCAGTAATTAGGAGTTAGAGATGACTTTGATCTTTATTTCAGTACTTCTGTATTTTGTTGCTCTTTTTTTTTTTTAATAAGCTCGTGACTTTTGATTTATTTTTATCTCCTCATTCAATACTGTGGGGCAAAAGGGAAGAGTTCTCATGAGTTTTCTGATTTTGTCAGGAAGGTGGTACTTATTGAATTAGGCTCAGAGGATCTCATTTCTTCAGAGAGTGAGGATGGATGCATAAATACGGGGAAACAGCCAAGACACAGTTAAGGAACAACCATCAGCAACTGAGTTTTGTTTCTTTACTTTCAGCCTAGTGATTTGTTCCGTGCCCCGGTTCTCAGTAGGGCTACTGAGACTTAAGGATGTTGTGAGTAGTAAGTTTGTACTTGGTTTCCTCCTCCGTTCAGGCCTAACTCCCGGCTGCTTTTGTGTGTGTGTTTTAATATATCCTTTTGATATTCTGAAAGCCCCTCCAAGGGAGAATTACGCATTGCACTTTAAATTCCATTTACTTGCTTCCTGGTTATTAGTGGGAATTCATTGTTCTTGGGCCTCATTTTGTTGTCACAATAAAGGAGGAAAAATGAGTCAGAGGTATTCTAAATGCCAAGAGTATTGCTCCTCCTCAGGCTTCACCCTTTGACAGAAGGCAAGATGGCATTCAGCTTCCAGCAGTGGTGGTTGGCCTGCCAAGTGAGAAGGGGCCAGACCTTTTCAACACTTTTCAGATAACAGTACATAGTTTGTTGAAGTAAGCTTACAGTTTAAATGAATTCCAGTTGTTGTTTTATTTATTTATTTTTTATTTGACAGAGAGAGCACAAGTAGGCAGAGCGGGAGGGAGGAGAAGCAGGCTCTCCACTGAACAGGGAGCCCCATGGAGGGCTCCATCCTGGAACCCTGGGATCATGACCTGAGCCAAAGGCAGCTGCTTAACCGACTAAGCCACCCAGGTGCCCCTAATTCCAGTTGTTTTGAACAAGAAAAAAATCTGCAGCATCTAAATTGGAATTAGTTCTTGCTTAGAAAGTAATCATGATTGTTTATTTTTGGGATGTGTGTGTGTGAGAGAGAGAGGGAGATGTTTTAAGTCACACAGATGACTAATTTGGTACTAGAAAAATCCCATCACTCTTCACCAGCCAGTTCTAGACTCAAATTGTTTTCAAGCTTCCGGACCAATGGGACCGTTGAGCACAGTTTAAATATGGGTGGGTTAGCCTCTAGAGGGCCCCTTGAGAGATTCGTTCGTTCATTCATTCATCACCGCTGTTTCTCAGGCTCCGTCTGTTCGGTCATCAGGCAGTCGTTGGGGGTCTCTTCTCCCGGAGGCCAGTTTTGTCTCAGACTGGGGTTAATGAAAAAAAAAGAGGGACGAATGAAAAAAGAGGGACCAGATTTAACTGAGTTAATTTAGGTACAAAGAGAAGGTCGTAGGTGAAGAGGTGAAAGGGGTTGATTGCAAATTTTCTCTCTAGACAGTCTCACGATCCAGATCAGAGAGGTCTCTTACACAATTATTTCTGGCCTGCACTTGGCCAGGCCTTCTGCTAGATGCTACTAATGTGAAAATGACTAAGACTGGCTGCTCTTGGGATGTTTGGACCTAGTAGATGATGCAGATGTGGAAACAGTGTGGTGAGTGCTGTGATAGAGGTGTCTGGGGTGGGCTGAGAACACAGATAAGGAGCAATTAAGGCTGCCCTCTGCCCTGGGTGGAACTAGCAGATGGAACCACACAGTGTAGCATAATTCCCTACCCAGAGCATAATGTTTACTTAGCAGATTGTAAAATTAAATGAAGAGGGGTTGAAATGATGCTAAAATTTGCCAGTTGAAAAAGGGGGTCAAGCCAGACATCAGGATAGAGTACCAAGATATACAAGTACAGGACACAGAATAATTTAGGTGTCAAGAAAGAAAGATGAAAGGGTAGGTGTAGGCTAAATTAGGACAGGCTTTGTATTTGTGTGCCTTGCCAAGGACCTGATACTGTAGGCTAGTGTTTCCCTGAATGTAAGGGCCTTTTTTTTTTTTTTTAAGATTTTATGTATTTATTTGATGGAGAGAGACACAGCAAGAGAGGGAACACAAGCAGGGGAAGTGGGAGAGGGAGAAGCAGGCCTCCTGCTGAGAAGGGAGCCCTATGCAGGGCTCAATCCCAGGACCCTGGGATCATGACCCAAGACAAAGGCAGATGCTTAACGACTGAGCCATCCAGGCACCACCCCCCCCCTTTTTTTTTTAAACGACTAAGCTCACACATTCATCTAGCAGTTGTTGCATTTTACATTTTGCCAGTCTGCAAACAGTGCTTGGTATAAAATATTGGATTTCTTGCACTTGACACTGACTGTGACCCTCTTTCCAAGGTGGGAACCATTGCTTTAGGCTTCTAGACAAACATCCGATCTGTAGGGTTCTGTCCATGTCATGTTTTTGCTTACATGCTATTTCCTTTAGATCGTTTAGAGGTGAAGGATTGACAGTAGGAGCTGATTAGCTGAAGTAGCTTTCTGGTCACTTAGGGGATTTACCTCAGACTTTCAAACTTCGAGTTAGTAGTGACTGTTTAGTAGTCACTTTTATTTCTTTTACCACTCTTCTACAAATCTGGCATCATAGAAAAGTAAAGACAGACATGTAGTAAAATTTTCATGTAGCTATGTTTATTACATTTAAATGAAAGTTTTTTAATTTTATATTGCCTATGTCTTTTTTTTCTTCTGCGGTCAAAATGTCTTTTATAGTATAATTGTAAGAATAAGGAGCTATTGTGTTTAATTGTCCTTTCTGGATAGAATTACTAGTTGGCACTGTAATTGATACATATTTTTAAACTATTTTTATGATTCATGAAATACAAAAGCCAGAGAACCATTACCATGCTACCGTCTTCAAATGAGCACCTTGAAACAAGTTTACAAGATGAGTTGGATCTGTGGCTAAATGTACAGAAATTCGTAAGAAAGGTTAACATACAAATTATTAGAATGCATCCCTCTAAAGATAGGTTTTTGTAGAGATATCACAAAGATAACTATTGACAATACCTCTTATGAATAAAGACAAAAATCCTCAACAAAATACTCAGCAAATCAAATCCAGCTATATGTAAAAAAGGAGTATACATCATGACTGAAGGGGATTCTATCCCAGGAACAACAGGTTCATTTAACATCTGAAAATCAATTCCTGTACCGCACCATATTTTAAAAAACAGAAGAAGGAAAAAAAAAACCATGTGATCATCTCAGAAGACAAAGAAAAGGAATTTGGCAAAATTCAGCACCCTTCATGATAAAAAACACTTGGCAAGTTAGGAATGGAAGGAGCTTCCTCACTAATAAAGGGCATCTGTGAAACACCCATAGCTAACATCATACTTAATAGTGAAGGATGAAAGTTTTCCCTCCAAAGGTCAGGAGCAAGGATGTCTGCCATCACCAGCCATGCAACATTGTACTAGAAGTTCTAACGAGTGCAAGACAATGAAAAGGAGGAAATAAAACTATCATTGTTCACAGATGACATGACCCTGTAAGAAAAATCTAAGGAATTCACTAAAAAACCACTAATTAACAAGTTCAAGAAGATTGCAGGATACAAGATCAACATAAAAAATATAACAAAAAAAAATCAGTTGCATTACTCTACATTAGAATGAATAATCTAAAAAATAATTACCTTTATAGTAGCATCAAAAAGAGTAAAGTACTTAGGGGACAAATTTAACAAAAAACACACAAAACATAGGATTGACCCTTGAACAGCACAGGGCTTATGAGTGCCAACTCCCACACAGTTGAAAATTTGTGTATAACTTCTGACTTCCCCCAAATTTAACTACTAATAGCTTACTGTTGGCCAGAAGCTTTACCATAACAGACAGTCAATTAACACATTTTATATATCACATGTGTTATATTCTGTATTCTTAGAATAGTGTAAGCTAGAGAAAAGAAAATTTTAAGAAAATCAAAGAGGAAATACAGTATGGGAAAAAAAAAATCTGTGTGTAAGTGGATCCATGTGGTCTAAACCTGTGTTCCAAGGGTCAGCTATAGTGTGAAATCTACATAACACTATTAAAGAAATGAAAGAGCTAAAGAAGTGGAAAAACATCCTATGTTCATGGATTAGAAGACTTTGTACTCCACCAAATTGATCTACAGACTTAAAAAAAAGGAAATTGATAAGCTGATGCTAAAGTACATATGGAAATGCAAGGGACTCAGAATGGCCAGTGCAATCTTGAAAAAACAAAACTCGATATAAAAACTTACCACAGAGCTGTAAGTCATCAAGAAAATGCGTCACTGGCGTAGGACAGATATAAATCAGTGGCATAGAGTGGAGAACCCAGAGAAGATTTACTGTCAACTAATTTTTGACGAGTTCCAAGACAATGCTGAAACAACTGGATTTCCACATGCAGAAGAAGTTCCACATAAAAGTTAACTCAAATGGATCAGAGACCTATATGTAAGTGCTGAAACTGTGAAAATTTTAGGAAAAAAATGGTGTAAATCTTTGTGTTCTGGAATTAGCCAGTAGTTTCTTAGATATGACACCAAAAGCACAAGAACAAAAATAAGTTGGAACTTCATTAAAATTAAAAACCATTGTGTTTTGAAAGGCACCATCAAGAAAGTGAAAGCCAGGGCGCCTGGGTGGCTCAGTGGGTTAAGCTGCTGCCTTTGGCTCAGGTCATGATCTCAGGGTCCTGGGATCGAGTCCCACATCGGGCTCTCTGCTCAGCAAGGAGCCTGCTTCTCTCTCTCTCTCTCTCTCTCTCTCTCTCTGCCTGCCTCTCCATCTATTTGTGATCTCTCTCTGTCAAATAAATAAATAAAATCTTAAAAAAAAAAAAAAGAAAAAGAAAATGAAAGCCAGCGCACAGAATGGGAGAGAATATTCATAAAGTATATATACAGTAAGGAACTTGTATCTAAAATGTATAAAGAAGGGCACCTGGGTGGCTCAGTCAGTTAGGCGTCTGCCTTCTGCTCAGGTCATGATCCTGGAGTGGCTCAGCGATGTATCTGCCGCTCCATCTGACCCTGCCCCTTCTCGTGCTTTCTCTCTTATGTTCTCTCTCAAATAAATGAATAAAATCTTCAAAAATAAATAAAATGTATATATGTCTTTAGATTTTTATTTATTTATTTGAGAGTGAGCACACGCACAAGAGAGAGAGCATCAGAAACTACCAACCAGGGGAGGGACAGGGAAGCCGAGTCCCCGCTGAGCAGGGAGCCTGACACAGGACTCCATCCCAGGGCTCCGGGATCATAACCTGAGCCGAAGTCAGATGCTCAACCAACTGAGCCACCCAGATGCCCCTAAAATTGTATAAAGAGTTCTTAATGACCAACTCGATCACAGAAAGATAACCCGATTTTTTTTTAAAGATTTAAATATTAGAGCATGAGCAGGAGGAGCAGAGAGAGGGAGAGAGAATCTCAAACAGACTCTGCACTGAGCTTGGAGCCTGATTTGGGGCTCAGCCTCACAGCCCTGAGGTCACTACCTGAGCTGAAACCAAGAGTTGGTCACTTAACCAACTGCCACCCAGGCGCCCCGAAAGATAACCCAATTTTCTAAATGGCCAAAGTGTGTGAATAAATGTTTCTCCAGAGATAGACAAATGGCCAATAAGCAATGAAAAGATGCTCAACATCATCAGGCATCAAGGGAGTACAAGTCAAAACTGCTATTCCCATGTTTATTGCAGCATTATTTGCAATAGCCAGATTATGGAAGCAGCCCAAGGGTCCACTTACGGTTGGATAAAGAGGTGATGTGTGTATATAGATATAGACATAGATATACAGATACACAGATATAAAAAATCTATATGTGTAATAGACTATTAGTCAGTGATAGAAAAGAATGAAATCTTACCATTTGCAATGATGTGGTAGAGTTGGAGGGTATTATCCTAAGCAAAATAAGTCAGAGAAAGACAAATACCGTAAAATTTCACTCCTATGTGGGATTTAAGAAACAAATGAACAAAGGAAGAAATGAGAGACAAGCCAAGAAACACTTTCAATTATAGAGGACAAATACATAAGTAAATACCATAGTTGAAGAGACATCTAAAAAATAAAAATAAATTGCAGTGGGATACCACGTTATACCCACTAGGATGGTTATAATAAAAAAGACAGACAATAACAAGTGTTGATAATGTAGAGAAATTGGAACCCTCAGACACTGCTGTTGGGAATGAAAAATGGTGTAGCCACTTTGGAAAATAATCTGGCATAACCTCATAAGGCTAAACACAGTCACTGTGTGATGTAACAATTCATTTTCTGGGTATATACCCAAGAGAACTGAAAACTTGCTCACACGGAATCTCATACACACATGTTCCCAACAGCATTGTTTATAGCAGCCAAGTAGAAACAACTCCATAGGTAAAAAGGAATTGGTATATTCCTAAAACAATGTGATTCAGCAATAAAAAGATACAAAGTGCACATTAATTATAAGGTAGATGTACCTTGAAAACCTCACCTAAGTGAAAAAAAAACACACACAATACCAGATCCCTTATTCTATTCATATGTGATGTCCGGAGTAGGCAAGTCCATAAAGATAGTAGGTAAGGGGTTGCCTGGGTTTGAGGGAGTTGGGACATTGGGGCATGATAGCTAAAGGGTATAGGGTTTCTTTTTGGGATGAAGAAGATGTTCTAGAGGATTGTGCAGAAGGTGGCAGAACTCTAGTAAAGATAAAATTGAACACTTGAAATGGGCAAATTGTATGGTATGTGAATTTCATCTCAGTAAAGCCCCAGCCAGGTGGGCTTTTGAGGTAAGCCATATTCTTCCATGCCTTTTGTTTACTATCATCCTGTTTTGAGCCTAATTGTTCTTCACATTCTAGAGCTAAGCCTCTCGGCTGGGAGCCTGCAGTTGGAGCACAGGAGAGATCTGGAGCACAAAAGGCGAGATTTCACCTCTTGTGGGAACAAGAAGCTCTACTTTGACACCCACGCCTTAGTGTGTTTACTGGAAGAAAATGGTAATCCTTTCGTGGGTCACTTAGGGCCATGGAAAAACACTAAATGATAAGTTCTCCTGATCTTACTAACTTCTCCTATTTCTCTTTGACATTTAAGTCTACAGATGATCTTTTGGTCAATCTCTGTTTTTTTTTAAGTTCTTTTTTTTTTTTTTCTTTTTAAAGATCTTATCTATTTATTTGACAGAGGAGAGAGAGAGAGATCATAAGTGGGCAGAGAGGCAGGCAAAGAGAGGGGGGAGCAGGCTCCCTGCTGAGCAGAGAGCCCGATGCGGGGCTCGATCCCAGGACCCCAAGATCGTGACCCAAGCCGAAGGGTTCTTATTTTTTTTTTTAATTTAATTTTATTTATTTACTTGACAGACAGAAATCACAAGTAGGCAGAGAAGCTGGCAGAGAGAGAGGAAGGGAAGCATGCTGCCCATTGAGCAGAGAGCCTGATGTGGAGCTCCATCCCAGGACCCTGGGATCACGACCTGAGCCGAAGGCAGAGGCTTTAACCCACTGAGCCACGCAGGCACCCCAAGGGTTCTTATTTTTTAAGGACATTGTGCTTCCGCTAGACCAGTTGAGACTTCTTGTATACATTTTCTCTTTGTCCCTAAGAAATTCTTGTATACGTTTTCTCTTTGTCCCTGAGAAGCATATTTTTACAACATCTCTCTGGAGGTAGAGTGTTACAGATAACAAGTTAGACACAAGTTAGCAAAACTCAGGAATGTTTCCTAGGACACTTGCTTGATGCACAAAAGTGGTAGTTTTGTTACTGGGCGTATTGTGTGCTTTTAAAATTGTTATGAAATTAAAAATGTTGCTGAGCAGCCATTGCTAATTTCAACTTGTAGGGTTTTTTTAATAGTTCAATTAATATTTTCTTTATCACTATTAATGCAAAAGATGCTCTAACATATATGACGTTTATTGAAAGTGGATTCAGTGCATAGATAACATTCTCTTTGAATCTTCTCTAGACAAACCGGTTCTAATTCTCTGTATTATGAGTCTTCACGACACTCTAGATGTTGCCCCAGTTGTATGTGATCGTATCTGCAGAGCTACTCTCCGGAGCTGGGCTTCACTCGCCAGGGCCAAGCAAGTGGCGGGAGCTCTGTGCTCGCCTGGGGAGTTAGAAGCTCTAGGTTCAAGCTCCGCCAGGGCCCAGCTGCAAAGCGGGGCAGTTCTCTCATCCTTCCCAGTTTCTTTTTTCTTTTTTTTTAGATTCTATTTATTTATTTGAGACAGAGATAAAATGCACGAGCAGGGGAGAAGCAGAAGGAGAAGCAGACTCCCTGCCGAGTGGGGAGCCCAGTGCAGGGTCGGTCCTGGGACTCCGAGATCACGGACCTGAACTGAAGGCAGACACTTAACTGACTCAGCCACCCAGGTGTCCCCGTCCTTCCCAGTCTCTATCTCCTCATCTCATTAGCAGTGTGGGCTCAGTAAGAATTCCAAAGGGTCCTTTGAGTATTAAAGGAAATACAGTGTACCTGAGTACACTTCAGAAAAACTGTTAAGTACCATATCATAATCTTCATTGCTTTCCTTCTCAACTTGAAACATTAGGCCTTTTTTCACCAAAACGTCTTTCGGTTCAGAATTTAGAAAAGTAGAATGGAAAAGAGAGACATCAGAAATTATGTGGATAAGCAGAAGTCTTCCTGCTTTTTCCTTTTTTCTGTGGCTCTAATGTTCTTGCATTCAAAGTAACCCATTGTAAAAAGCCATATTGGAGAGAATGGGGGTGTTTCTGTATACACTGGGGTTTGATGAGAGTAAGGGAGCATCATAAATCTTGTTAAATGGCAAGGTAGCAGCAGTGGGCTCGAGATGGCCGCAGATCTTTCTCCCGTTAACAGGTGGGGTTTATTTCTCTTCTCCCACCAAAAAAGTCCATTTATTTACTTTTGATAAATAAAAACTGTTCACCTTTAAAGTGTGATGTTTTGATAGATGTACTTCCTGCTTTTCCTCATTTCAAACCTTGACACATGAATTTTTGGTATCTCAAGACTGGTGTTATGGGGACCCTGCCAAGATGTAGGGCGCGAGGCCTCTTAGACGAATGTTGGATATTTAAGATGCTATAGAGAAGGGCCAGAAGGACCTGTCCAGGAGCACTCCCACCTTCCATCCTTACCTTCTCCAGAGCTACGTCTCCTGCTTCACAAAACTTTCTGCGTGTGTATAATCTCTCTAACCCTGATGGTGTCTTGTTCTCTCATTCCTACAGAACATTTTTTTTTTTTGAAGATTTTATTTATTTATTTGACAGACAGAATCACAAGTAGGCAGAGAGGCAGGCGGAGAGAGGGGAGGAAGCAGTCTCCCCGCTCAATCCCAGGACTCTGGGATCATGATCTGAGCCGAAGGCAGGGGCTTTAACCCACTGAGCCACCCAGGCGCCCCCTACAGAACATTATTTTGTATCTGGTAACCTGGTAGGTTTTCAGACCTAACTTCTGCTTTTTCTTATCCCTTTCTCCTCCCATAGGTGGTTATAAATTATAAGGCTGTGGAGTATATTAGCAGCGTAAGTTCTCAGCTGGTCTCTTTTTCTTCATAATTGCCAAACCTAGATATGTTTAGCTATGAGCACTTTTTCAAAAGTTTTAAAAATTATATTTTCATTTTCAAAAAACGTAGGCAGAAAAGAAACAGGAAAAATATTCTGTATCCCAATACCCCAGAGCAAGCCAATGTAACATTTTGGTGGGTAACCTTTTGGATGATATTTGTAGATGCACATGACCCACATGTTGAAAATCAAAGGAGTTTGAAGGAAATAGGTCTTTGGAGGTCTTTTTGTCTCTTTCAAATCTCTTTGTTTCTTATTATAGTTGGGGGCTACGTGGGTGGCTCAGTCCCTTAGGACCCTTGATTTTGGCTCAGGCTAGGATCTCAGTGCTCAGAGCTGGAGATCTTGGCTTTGAGCTCAGCAGGGAGTCTGCTTGAGATTCTCTCTCCCCTGGCCTGCCCTCCCCCCTTCCCACTCGTGTATGTGAGCAAGCACATCTGCACTCACACTCAATAAAATAAAAAAAAAAAATTATAGTCAGGGTGCCTGGGTAGCTTAGTCGATTAAGCCTCTGCCTTCAGCTCAGGTCATGGTCCCAGGGTCCTGGAATCGAGCCCCGCATCGGGCTCCCTGCTCAGTGGAGCGCCTGCTTCCTCCTCTCTCTCTGCCTGCTGCTCTGCCTGCTGGTGCTTGCTCTCTCTCTCTCTGTCAAATAAATAAAATCTTTAAAAAAAAATACATAGTCGGGGCACCTGGGTGGCTCAGTGGGTTAAACCTCTGCCTTCAGCTCAGATCATGATCTCAGGGTCCTGGGATCGAGCCCCGCATCGGGCTCTCTGCTCAGCAGGGAGCCTGCTTCCCCCTCTCTCTGCCTGCCTCTCTGCCTACTTGTGATCTCTCTGTTAAATAAGTAAATAAAATATTTTTTAAAAAGTACATAGTCTCAACTTAATCTCATCCAAATTGTATCACTTACAATTTATGGAAACAAATGTGCCTTTAATTACAAGAATCAGTAGATTCTTCTGTAGTTCTTACAGGTGGAAGTATTTAATGAAAAAAATTACTTTCCAGGGTCTTGGTTTTAAGCATTTTATTAGAATTGCCAATGTGAAATATAAATTACTATCTAAAGTTATTTTTTTATTTCTAGCTTTTTAAAAATTTTAATATAAATTCAGTTCATTAGCATATAGTGTTTTATTAGCTTTACAGGTAGTACTATCTAAAATTATTAAACACTGCTGAGTTAGATATTTCAATTCAGCATCTGAGTTTACTAAGTATCAAAGCTGTATTTTTCCATCCTGGTCCCCTCTCTACAAGTGACTGAAGAGACTTGCGGAGGAAAAATAAAAAGAACAGATTTTTCCTTTTAACATCAGATGAATTAATAGCTAAATTACTAGTTGTCTTTATATGGTCAGTGATTTGATGGATTTATGCTGGATGTGAAATAATTGAGCTTTCCTACTTAAGTAAATTATTCTTTACTAATGTGTACATTTTAGAATAGGGAAATCAAGTCATAGAAAATATAAGCCACAGGGAAGGAAATAAAGATTACCTAGAATCTTTGTTAAGTTACAAAAGCAGTAAATTGCGTCTGTAATTTTGACCTTGCTTTCCTTTCCTTGACCCCGCATTGCAGGCTTCCTCTATGTCATGAGACCGTCTCAGGAAATAGGATTTTTTGCAGCTAGGTAGGACAGTAGAGGACACCAGCCCAGCCCTTTATCTTTACATGTAGAAATAGATGTGTCATGCTTGTCCAGAGACACAGACACAGCACAGCCTGGAATTCCAGGCTTCCTGAATTCAAAACATTTTCTCCCCTTCTTCTTTTTTTTTCCAACAAATAGAGTCTCCAGAGTGTGACTGTCTTTGTGTGTTTCCTTAGGCTTCACCACCCAGCAAGCAGAAATCACTATCTCTGCATTGGTCAAGATCACGGACGCCAACATGGATATCGTCTACAAGGATATGGTCACCAAAATGCAGCAGGTTAGCTTTGTCGGGGCATGGTAGCCAATTTAAAGCCTGAAGTTAGGTTGTTATTTGGAATACGTATTTTTGGATAATACTGCATTGAAAAACATATAGTACTTTTTAAGATTTTGTTTATTTATTTGAGAGAGAGAGAACAGAAGCAGGGGGAGGGGCACAGGGAGAAGCAGCGCTCTATCCCAGGACCCTGGGACCACGACCCAAGCTGAAGGCAGATGCTTAACCAACTGAGCCACCTAGGCGTCCTAAAAAGCATATAGTACTTTTAACCATAGTTGAGAGGGAAATGATCCTAGTGGCATAAAAAGTAGTTTATTCGAGGGGCACCTGTGTGGTTCAGTCGGTTAACCATCCGACTCATTCTCAGCTCAGGTCTTGATCTCAGGGTCGTGAATTCAAGCCCCACATTGGGCTCCACACTGGGCACGGAGCCTACCTTAAAATACATATATTTGTATTTTTTTTTTTCAAAGCTATCTTCTCAACTATTGTAGAGTCATGTTGGAAAACTCAGCTATGTTTGAAAGTGGACTCTTCCAGTCCACCATACCGAACACGGAGATGCGGCTGGGATCACAGCAGTGTGTTCTTGACCTGCTGGTCCTCAGACCGCCACCCTTTGAACTGGCTCACTTGATGGTGATACTGGACTTGAGTCTTTATTCTTCTCCTTTCTTCATTCTGGAATAGAGGACGACCGTGCTGAACCTCTCTCCTCGTGTCCATGTTCTCCTGGTTTCTCACTAAGATGATTCCAGGTGGGAGGCAGATGTCCTAGGCCAGCCTAGGTTACATGTTTCGTTTCTCTTTTCCTAGGAGATCACTGTTCAGCAAATAATGTCTCAGATTGCCAATGTGAAAAAGGATATGATTATTTTGGAGAAGAGCGAATTTTCGGCTCTCAGAGCAGAAAATGAGGTAAAACTAAAAAGCTGCTCGTACTAATAAAGTGCTCGCTGTCGAGACGTTGAGACATAAATGCGTGGACAAAAGTGGACAGGTTAGATGTGTTTTCACCAAGTGTCCATTACCAGATCAAGACGTGAAATATTCTGGCACCCCAGAAGCCTGCTAACCCCTGCTAGGAAGACCCCTATATCCTGTGTCACCGTTGACTGGTTTTGCCTTTTCCAGAACTTCATCTGGGGGAATCCTGTGGTGTGTCTTAATGGTGGATGGGTCTTGCTCATTGTCTGTAGTGTTATATGAATGTGCCTCGTTACTCTACTGTGATGTACGCTTGACTCCTGAACAATACAGGTTTGAACCAACCAACCAACCACTTACACAGTTTAGTCAGTGTTTTCTCTTCCATATGATTTTCTTGATAATACTTGCTTTTCTCTGGCTTTCTTTATTCTGAGAAGATGGTATGTAATACACATAACATTCAAAATATATCATGTTATCAGTAAGGCTTCTGGCTGACAATAGGCTATTGAGTTTTCGGGGAGTCAGAAGTTACATATGGAGGTTTTGGGTTTTTTTTTAAGATTTTATTTGTTTATTTGACAGAGATCACAAGTAGGCGGCGGGGGGGCGGGAAGCAGGCTCCCTGCTGAGCAGAGAGCCCAATGCGGGGCTCGATCCCAGGACCCGAGATCATGATCTGAGCCGAAGGCACAGGCTTAACCCACTGAGCCACCAGGCACCACTATATATTAGATTTTTAACGGGGGGGGGGTGATTAGTGCCCTAACCCCCTGTGTTGTTCAGGGGCCAACTGCATATTAGAATTGTTTCCAGCTTCTGGTTATCACAAAGTCTTGCTATAAAATATCCCTTGGTTTCTGGGGTGGGGTTCTTTTCTTTGTTTGTTTGTTTAATTCAGTTTAGTTAACATACAGTATATTCCAAGGTTCAGGGGTAGAATTTAGTGATTCATCGCTTACATTTAACACCCAGTGCTCATTACATCACGTGCCTTCCTTAATGCCCGTCACACAGTTACCCCGTCCTCCCACCCCCCCACCCCTCCACCAACCCCCAGTTTGTTCCCATGATTAGGAGTCTCTTATGGTTTGCTTCCCTCTCTGTTGTTATCTTACTGTATTTTTCCTTCACTTCCCATATGTTCATCTGTTTCTTAAATTCCACATATGAGTGAAATCATGGTATTTGTCTTTCTCTGATTAACCTATTTCACTTAGCATAATACCCTCTAATTCCATCCACGTCGTTGCAAATGTAGCCCTTGGTTTCTTAAGTGTGGCATTCAGCACTGAAGTGAGTGCTGTGTTTGCATCCTTCCTTTTGTTTTCAGTCCTAGCTGAAGTCTCATAAATGAAGTCCATTTATTAGTGATTCATCTTAGTCTTATGAAAGGCCTTCTAGCAAAAGAGTCCTTTTGCTAGAAAACAGTAGTTTGAAACTCTCACATTTGCCCTCGAAATCGGCTATTTGAAGGCAGAATTTGTTAAAAGAAAAATTGAAGTAGGTATAAAGACAGAAGGGCCTCTGGAGGCAAAGGTGTATGTTAAAAACAATGTGTTACTGGAGTGGCTCAGTCAATAAGCCTCTGACTTGATCTTGGCTCAGGTCTTGATCTCAGGGTCCTGAGTCATGATCTCAGGGTCATAAGAAACATGAGCCCTGCGCTGGGCTCCATGCTAGGGAGCCTACTTTAAAAAAAATTGAAACTGTGTTACTGATCTTATGTAACCTTCAGGATGAAACCGATCTCAAGATAGGCACATGCGGGGTTTTTTTGTTGTTGTTTTTGTGTTTTTTTCGATTTTTAATTATTTATTTGGACAGAGCAAAAGAGAGAGGGAACACAAGCAGGGGGAGTGGGAGAGGGAGAAGTAGATTTCCTGCTGAGCGGGGAGCCCAATGCAGGGGCTGGATCCCAGTACTCTGGGATCATGACCTGAGCCAGAAGCAGATGCTTAACGACTGAGCCACCGAGGCACCGAAGTAGGCTCATGCATTGTAATACCATCCTGGTATGACAGATAATCGTGTCTGCTCCCAAGACTTTTCAGCTCATGCTTCATTCTGAATGCAGCTGGAACTGTGCACGAAACATGTTCTAATGTATGTTTATTACCAAGTTTTAGGTATTTTTTTCTAACCATCTAGCCATATCCTTGACTTGTTTTTTTTTTAATGTGTTTTTAGAAGATAAACGTGGAGCTACATCGATTAAAACAACAAATAATGGTGAGACCCTCACTCCTCCTTGCATGCTTGTAGGCAGTTACTTAAACATAGTAATAAATACCATGTCAGAAGTTCTTTAGGTGTTCTTAAAAACTTAATCCGATGTTGAGCATTTGTGTAATACGTCTCAAAAGTACACACTGGAAGGTTTAGCTAAGAACACAGTGAATAAGTGGGTAGAGGTCTGTAAACAAATTCATTAAGAAAATTGTGTTCTAGGATAAATGGAATTATCTTTAAATTAAATGTTGAAGTTGAAACATATGGAGCCTTTAGGTTCTGTTAGAACAGACTGGGTTTAGAGAATTACATGTGATTTCAGAATGCTGACTGTGCCAGCTGTTTGATTTCTTTTTTTTTTTTTAAAGTAGAAAGGACATGGATGTTAAGGAAGAAAAGGTTGTGATGAGTGTTAGAAAGAAGGCTTTATTTAAACCAGAATTTCATATTTTCCTCCTTTGAGTCCTTCTCTGCTTTCCAGAGTTGGCCAGGGAACAGCTTCAGTCATAAATTCCATAAGGAGATTACACTGGGAATCTCAGGATTAAAAGCAGCAGGAACCCACTCTGGCCTGACTCATGCATAAGTGGGCGTTATTTGTGTACATGACTGGGAAGTCCCAGGCTTCACGTCCCAAGAGGGTTTCCATTTCTCACTTTGGATTTCTTTCTCTTTGTTTGCCCTCCTGACAGGATGAAGTGGTCAAAGTCCGAACAGATACCAAGTTAGACTTCAATCTAGAAAAGAGCAGAGTGAAGGAATTGGTATGTTTCTTTATTAAAAACAGAGTGTGAATTCATCGCTTTGTAGGATGGAATGCTCCGTCTGGTCTGAGTATATAGACAGTTCACCTGTGCATCGTTGCTAGACACGGTTTTCTCTTTAATTGTATTCTAGCTTAGAGCTTAAGTTCAATAACTTTGAAAAATGAAATGAAAATCTTGGGAGGCGCCTGGCTCCTAATCTTGGGTCAGTCGGTAGAGCGTATGTGACTGTTGATCATGAGGTAATGAGTTCAAGCCCTGCATTGTGTAGACATTACTTAAAAGTAATACCTTATAAAAAATGAAACTCTTGGTCAAATCAAGTTTGAATCTCGTTTTATTTCAGAGAGGGAGAGAGACTAAATTATGTGTGACTTAGTACCAAAGAAATCAAACCAAATCTCACCCTATTTCATCTAACTTAAGCCTCTACAGGTCCAGATTTTTCTAAAGTTAAGTTGATCATCTGCCTTGAATAATACTAAATTTAATTCTACACTGAAATTCAAGATTAAAAAAAATTTCCCATATAGCCTTTAAAAAAATTTTTTTAAAATATTTTATTTATTTATTTGACAGAGATCACAAGTAGGCAGAGAGGCGGCAGCAGGGGATGGGGTGCAGGCTCCCCACTGAGCAGAGAGCCCGATGCAGGGCTCGATCCCAGGATTCTGGGATCATGACCTGAGCCGAAGGCAAAGGCTCAACCCACTGAGCCACCCAGGCGCCCCCCATATAGCCTTTTTAAACTTTTAAATAGAGAAATCTTAATGACTTGATTGCATTGTTTCCAAATGCAAATTCAAAACAATTTTTTAAGTTACACTAAATTGAAAAAAAATTTTTTTTTCTTTAAATATTTTATTTACCTGACAGACCAAGATCACAGGTAGGCAGAGAGAGAGGAAGGGAAGGAAGCTCCCCGCCGAGCAGAGAGCCCGATGCGGGGCTCGATCCCAGGACCCCGGGATCACGACCTGAGCCGAAGGCAGAGGCTTTAACCCACTGAGCCCAGGCGCCCCTAAATTGAAAATTTTAATTATGAAAAGTACTTCTGTGCATTTGCTACCAGAAAGATCTCAGAAGAGGCGCCTGGGTGGCTCAGTTGGTTGAGCGTCTGCCTTTGGCTCAGGTCATGTTCCTAGGGTCCTGGGTTCCTCGTCAGGCTCCCTGCTCGGTGGGGAGCCTGCTACTCCCTCCCTCTCTGCCCTTACCCCTGCTTATGCGTGCACACGTGCGCGCACGCACGTTCTCTCTCTCAAATAAATAAATAAATAAATAAATAAATAAATCTTTAAAAAAAGAAAAGGGGGGTCTCAGAAATGTAGGCTGTAAGTAAGTAAGCAGAAGGGCACTTGCCCCTGTGTGGTTAACTTGTGGGATTGTGTACAGGACTCAAGAAAGCTGTGCAGATACAGTTCTGCTGCCCTTGGCTTTTCAAAAATAATGCATGGGACTACTATTTTTTTTTTCCGAGTTTGCACAGCAGCACTTTTCAATTTTTTATTTTATTCAGTTATAATTGACATAGACGGCATTACGTTAGTTTCAGGGGAACAACATGATGATCTGCTACTTGCATACACTGCAGGGTCGTCACCACCGTAAGTCTAGTTACCATCTGTCATCACACGTAGGTACAAAATTTTTTTCTTGTGATGAGAACTTTTGAGATCTGTTCTCTTAGCAACTTTCAAATAGTGTATTGTTACTGTAGTCTCCATGCATGACATCCCAGGACTTATTTTACAGCTGTAAGTTTGTACCTTTTTTTTGTCTAAAGAGTTTATTTATTTGACAGACAGAGATCACAAGTAGGCAGAGAGCCAGGCAGAGAGAGAGGAGGAAGCAGACTCCCCACTGAGCAGAGAGCCCGATGCGGGGCTCGATCCCAGGACCCTGAGACGGTGACCTGGGCTGAAGGCAGAGGCTTAACTCACTGAGAGCCACCCAGGCGCCCCTCTAATAATAATGTTGAGTTGCCTTAGTGACTTTTAACCCATCTATCTTGTTCAGGCTTTATTTGAATTTGATAGCACTGGTTAGATACCTTCTTTATTCTTAGAATAATGAGAAATGGGCTGTGTGAGGCATATTTTAACTAACACAGAACTGGACTCACATGTAGAAACTGGGTATACACAGTTGTTCATTGTCTCCTGGTTTATCACAGTTTGCTTTTAACCAAAATGTACTATAATGATAAGTGAAGCTAATACTGAAATTCAAATAAGTACTTAACTCTATTTTGGAACCACCTCTGGATTTCAAGAGTTAAGCTGAGCTTTGTTGTACAAAATCATTATTCCCATGTCACCTATCTTGTCTCAAAAACCACTTTTCAACAGTAAAGATTAATTCACCTAGCATCACTAAAATATTTAACAGGTGCTAGTGTATGATTAGTCTCTAGAAAAGGAAAAACTTTTTAATTAGGATGAATAATACTTCAATGCAGTAGTAAAATACTTAAATTAACATAAAATCTATGACAGATGGAATATCCAAACTTTCCTTTTGCCTTAGGTGTCAAATGTCTCTGCATAGCACTGTTATTTAGAATTTTAATTTCAAATTCCTCTAAAATACTCTTTTTTAACTATCTTAACAGATTCGATCTTTTAAATTTAAATTCAATTAATTAACATACAGTGTATCACTAGTTTTAGTGATTCCTCAGTCTTATTTATATATTACCCAGTGTGTATTACATCACGAGCCCTCCTTAATGTCCATCCCGCAGTTACCCCATCCTCCACCCCCGTCCCCAAGGAGAAACTCTTTATTTATTTATTTATTCAGCAGACAGATCACAAGTAGGCAGAGAGGTGGGGGGGTGGGAAGCAGGCTCCCCGCTCCATCCCAGGACCCTAGGATCATGAGCTGAGCTGAAGGCAGAGGCTTTAACCCACCGAGCCACCTAGGCGCCCGAAGGAGAAACTCTTTTTTAATTACCTTTGACCTTACGGGTTTTGTACTTAGCAAAAAATCTGAATGCACTTGATTTAGGAAGATGGCCATAGCTAAGAGCTGTGCGCCTGCTGAACATGGGTGAAAGCCCGTGAGTCGATGGGACTTTCTAACTAGCTGAGAAGTGGTTCGTGGTTATCCTAAACTGAGAAGACTTGAGTACAGGACAGCAGTGTGTATTCAGTGCGCGTTGGTGAAGAGGAGTGGACGGGACCTTCCCTCTCCTTGTTGAATAAAGTTTTGTTTCAGTTCTATAACTGGTGCTACTTACAGTCAGTTTCAGAGCAGTATGGCCTCTAAGCCACTTTGGGGTACAGGGAGATAGAGTCACATAGATGTTAATTTAAAAATCACGGCAGGGGGGCGCCTGGGTGCCTCATAAGCCTCTGCCTTCTGCTCAGGTCATGATCTCAGGGTCCTGGGATCGAGCCCCAAATCGGGCTCTCTGCTCGGTGGGGATCCTGCTTCCCTTCCTCTCTCTCTGCCTGCCTCTCTGCCTACTTGTGATCTCTCTCTGTCAAATAAATAAATAAAATCTTTAAAAAAAAAAAAAAAATCACGGCAGGGCCAAGATTGAGGCTTGGCTTTTCTCTTGTGGCCGGTGAATACTGACTGAAAAATCCGGTCCACCCTGCCCTCTTGTGGCATTTCGATGCATAGCTCCTTCCTCTTCTAAAACCCTGAAGTTTAGATGGAGATCAGCATTCTTTGGTCCTGATTGGTGCTTGGTTTGGGGTTTGGGGGGGGTTTCTCCAACTTTTTAAAAAAATTAAAAAAAAAATTTTTTTTAATTTAAAAATTTCTGAGCAATATTATTTTTTATACCTTAGCACCCTGGTAGTCCAGGGGAACATTTTATAGTTAGAAAGTTTTCTAGATACAAAAGCACTAATTTTCTCCCCTATCATAGCATTACCTTACTGAAGAATTAAATGCTAATTTTTCATTTGCTCAATTAAATCCTAATACCCACTGGTAAGGAGATGTGTCTGATTTTGGTCTCAGTGTCAACAAAATTGCACTAAATTTTTGCATAAATGTCAATAGCTTCCCCCCCGCCAAAGTCAATAGCCAAAGGCAAGATACCACTTTGATTCTGGGGCATGCTGGTCAGTTCCTTCAGTAACACTGGATTGTGACACATCCAAGTGGGGTTTTGTTTAATTTAAATCAATATGTGATGGTTTAATGCTTATCTTGTACCAGTGTATTTAGGAGGCCAATGCCTTATCCATTAGGCAGTGTATTTATATTGTATCTTTAGGCAGTGCCTGTCACATAAAAATATTCCTTGAAACTATTTTTCCCCCAGTTTTATAACATTCCTAACTTTGTCTAAGCCTCAGGTAGTGACCAGTTTTGTGATTGTGACAGGTTAGCTCCCAAACTAAATTGTTCCCCACTTTTGCAACCCTCTCAAAAGCAGCAAAAAGCACACGATTCAGCAGCCATGCAAACTGGTGCCTGGAGAACGCCGTTACAGTAGGGGGAGGGGACAAATGGCATCACAGCAAACAGATGACAGGAGCAGAGGAGAGAGGTGAAAGGTGACAAAGGGAATCCAGATACTGGAGCAGTGAGTGGCTCAAAAATAAGACACTTCAGGGGCACCTGGGTGGCTCAGTTGGTTAAGTATCTGCCTTTCCCTCAGGTCGTGAATCCTGGGCTCCTGGGATTGAGCCCCATCATCAGGCTCCCTGATCAGTGGGGAGTCTGCTTCTCTCTCTGCCTGCCGCTCCCCCTGCTTGTGCTGTGACTCTCTCAAGTAAACAAATAAAATCTTTGAAAAAGGAAAGAAACTTCAAAAAAATACATCTAAGGGAGAGGGTCAAGTAGGCTACTTGATTCCAGATGTGATGTCTAGTGTCCTATATTCTTGGAAGTACTGAGACTATAATATTTAAGGCAGTAAAAAAGGAGAGAGAGGAATAAATCAGAATCTGACTTGTGTTACATGTTCGTTGGTTTCAGTACTCGTTGAATGAAAGGAAGCTGCTGGAAATGAGGACAGAAATGGTGGCATTGGTAAGAAATGAGACTACTTTTCATGGTCATTGTTTTCATCTTGGCTTCATCCCACGTGTGGTTACTGTCCTTTGTAATGATGTGTTATGGGAGGGTTCTCAAGTTTTGTGTCCTAGGGTATGTTTTGGGGTTTTTTTCATTGTGGTAAAGTACACATAAAATTACCGTCTTAACCATTTTTAGGCGAACAGTTCAGTGGCATTAAGTACATTCACATCCTTATTCAACCATCTCTGGCACCCATCCACAAAGCTCTTTACATCTTGTAGCCCTGATACGACTTGTTACGCACTAACTCCCATTTCCTTCTCCCCAGCCCCTGCCTACCGCCATTCTGCTTTCTGTCTCTATGAACTGACTGCTCTAGGAACCTCATATAAGTGGAATCATACAATATTTGTTTTGTGATTGACTGACTTCGCTTAGCATAATGTCCTCAAGGTTCATCCATGTCGTAGCCTGTCAGAATTTCCCTCCTTTTTAAAGCTAAATACCATTCCATTTGCGGATAGACCACAGCTGGATTATCCTGCCAGTGGACACTTGGGTTGCCGTCATCTTTTAGCCGTTGGGAGTCATGCTGCTATGGGCGTGGTTGTGCCAGTATCTGTTGGGAGTCCCCGTTTTCACTTCTCTGGGGCAGGTGCCCAGAAATGGGGTATCCTAGAATTTTCTTGGCACTTAATAGAATATTTGTTTATCTTCATGAAAGTTTAAATCCCAGTGATTGAAGAATAATAAGGAATGGCGATTTTTAAAATTACTTTTCAAATTTACGACATGCTTTACTTTTTTTCCGTCTTCTGTTACTTGGGACCTCTAAAACATGTAAGACACTTCCATCAGAGAATAGTAGAGTATTCCTCTGGAATATGTTTCTGCTCATCCAGACCTCTATTTCCTTGTTCATTACCAGACTTGTTAGCCATAAGGAACTACATACAAATGACCCTTGAACAGTAGGGAGGTTAGGGACCCTCCCACATAGTCAAAAATCTGCATATATCTTTTGACTCCCCAGAAACTTAACTGCTAATAGCCCACTGTGGACCGGAAGCCTTCCTGATAACACAAACAGTCAATTAACACATATTTTTTATGTTATGTGTATTACACACTAAAACAAAGTAAGCTCTTATTAAAATCATAAGAAAGAGAAAATACATTTATAGCACTGTACCATATTGAAACAAATCAGGTGTAAGTGGACCCGTGCACTTTAAACCATTGTTAAAGGACCAATTGTACTTACTTGTCCTGGGATATTTAGTGAATTATTTTTGTGCATTAATAAAATGTTCCAACCCCTTTATAACATCAGCCAAACTTGCCACCCTTAGAGGATAGTTGTGTATCTAGTTTAACTGTATTGTATTTGGAAAAGAAGCCTTTGGTATAACTAAGCCTCATACTAATAAAATACTTGGTGTTTGAACTATGAAAGAAGAAAAGTTTAAAATGTGAATAGGAATTGTGTCAAGGCAAACACTGTTGCTTTTAGATTATCTAAGATTGCATTCACTTTTTATTTATTTATTTATTTTTTAAGATTTTATTTATTTAATTTGTCAGAGAGGGAGCACAAGCAGGGAGAGCGGTAGGTAGAGAGGGAGAAGCAGTCTCCTGCTGAGCAGGGAGCCCAAAGCAGGGCTCGATCCCATGACCCTGATATCATGACCCGAGCCAAAGGCGGACACTCAACCGACTGAGCCACCCAGGAGTCCCTGTGTTCACTTTTGAAAGCATTTTCTGTCTACCTATCATCAAGAGGGAAAAAATGAGGTACCTTTATTGTCTTCGAGTACAGACTGTCTTTTAACTTTAACCTTAATTTGTAGACCAGTGTATCCTTTACAGAAGCTTTTTTTACATTATCACATTTGATTGTCCTGTGTGAGGACAGGGCCAGTGGTGTTTGTTTGTTTTGGTGTTTTGGTGAGGTTTTTTGTTTTGTTTTGTTTTGTTTTCAAATTAAAGTAAACAAGCCCAGAGACCGTTAAAGGCCCTGACCAGTACAACATAACGTGAGCATAGTAGAACTAAAGCTAAAGCCCAGGTCTCCCTAAGCGTAGCCCTTCTTTCCCCGGGACTTCCCGCTGCTGCGGAGGGCCTATGGGATGGTGGGAGCCGAGGGGATGGCAGGTGTATCCTAAGTGGTTTAATGCTATGAATCTCTTTGTTTTGAAAGCATGCCCAGCAAGATCGGGCTGTCACCCAGACAGACAGGAAGATAGACACTGAGGTCGCTGGCCTCAAAACCATGCTGGAGTCACACAAGCTTGATAATATTAAATATTTAGCAGGTAAGCTCTTTTGCGTCTGGATAGTTCACAAGTGGAAAATTCATAAAATTTGGAAAATAAATCAAAGACAGATGCTGCGTTTCTTCTATTCTAACACATTTTTTTCATCTTTTAACGTCTCTGAAATTAGAAGGCACGTAATCATTTCCGATAGATGGAGTATCATACAGTAATCGGTATTTTTTTTTCCTTAGTAGTAAAATGATGTGCTTTACAACCGGTGGAATCTTAAGTTTTATAGGATACTGTCACTGAACTGTCGTTACTTGGAATTTTTTTTAGTGAAATTCAAGACAGTATTTTACGGATGGAAGGAAAGGCTTTTGAGTTGAGATCTTCCTGCTTCAATAGGGGACACTCCTTGTAAGGAGTTATTTTGGTTTTGTAATTTTTGAGCCAAAAAAGGGAATGAAAATTCACATATAAAAACAACTCGGTGATTAATTCACATTTAACATTTTGGATTTATCAATATATTCAAGTTATAATAGCAGTTAGAAGTGGAATTTTGTTGGTGACTTTTTAAAGGGTGTGGCCCTCTATAGTACATACACATATCCTTTGTGATCACAGAATTTCTGAGGTTCATTGAAAAGTTTCACTGACTATTGAATACTTTTCTACTTTGAAGACGATTGCAAATTGCGGAGTGTTTTAGTGGGCAGGTGTCTCGTCGAATGTGGCACCTCACATGCGATCTGAGTTTCTGGGGTTGGTTTTTCTGTTTGGTGGATAGGTGGATAAGCGCCTGTATGTTTTCTTAATAAAACGTTTTTCTTTAAGTAACTCTTAACACAACTAATCTATGCTCAATTTTTTTTTTCTTACAGGATCTGTATTTACGTGCCTAACAGTAGCTCTGGGATTTTATCGCCTATGGATATAATAAAGTGTCTATTTAAAGATAATCCCTATTGTTTTGCCTTAAGAATACCAGATTGCTGGGCCTCTTTGCCCCCCCTCATTTCCAGATTTTAACCCCAGTTTTGACTTAATATATATTATTTATTTTATGCAGATTATGGACATACAACCAAGGAAAGAAGTCATAATCGTTCTTTCATCTTTTCTATTTAGTTGCCTTTGTACCGCTGAGTGGTGGTGGACAAAACACGGAAGACCCCACTCAGCCGGTCCAGTGAACTTGGTCTAACCTGTGGGACATGCCAACAGTAAAAATTTATATAACCCTAAAATTTTCAATCTTCTGTCACATAGAGGATTTTGGGGGTCTCCATTTAAAAGGCACAACGACTTCACTAAGTGCTAAAGGATCATCGAAACTAAACCAAGAGCACCAGACCCTCTGTCCCTCTGACCAAGCCCTTCCCCTCAGCCAGCGCCCATGTTAGGGGGCAGCCCCAGTGGGTTGGTGTGCTAATGATTCACCTGTACTGTCCCCCTAAAGAAGTTATTTTTCTCTTAATTTCCATTGTCTTAGTAAGTTGTCATGGTTACTTTTCATGTGCCTTTCCGCCAGAAAATCTTGTTGCCTGATGAAATTTTGTAATCATTACAAATGGGGACTCTGGTTTTGCCTCTCAGAGTGCTAGATTTCTCTCCCACCCTTACATTGTGTGTGTGTGTGTGTGTGTGTGCGTGCGTGTGTGTGTGTGTGTGTCTGCTGGGGTTCTTATAGAGAAGGACATTGTCACGTTATTTAAATGACTGGTGTGAGAGAGAATAAGCATTTTAAAAACGAGAACATAGAGGACGTGTTTGTGTCTTTCTCTGCATTCACGCATGTGCACATGACCTGTACAGTGCAGAAACTACACGGGCACTTGTCGATCGATGTTGATCGAATAGGTAGGATAAATCATCCGCTGTCACTGTTGTAACCGCATTAGCGAAAAAGTTACCTTTGTCCTTTGGATGTCTTTCTAAACTTCAGAAAATGTAAGTCAGTGTCTTTTTTCTTTTTTTTTAAAAAACATGTGTTTAGCACAAAGCTGCTGAGCTCCAGATGAGCCTGAAAATCGAGTACTTTGGCATCAGTGGTATCAGTTTCAAAGTGAATAATTATTTGATTGTTTTAAACTTGATCCAAAATTATCTCAACGGCTTTGTGCTTCCGCTTTCAGAAAAGGATCCCCAGAAAATACTGCACATTGAGCAGTTGCCTTAAGTATTACAGATTTAAGTAAATGACATCCCATTAAGACCACATTTGCAACTACTTAATATAACTATTGTTAGTAAGAGCTTGGAAAAAGGGCCTGGAGCACAGACACTCCTCCAAAATCGAAAGAATCCCCAAGAGGAAAAAAGCACTGTGTGCAATTATGTTTCAAAGCAAACACTAACTTGCATAGGTTAGAAATAAGCAAAGTGACCTTACTTCCTGATATAATATTGGAAAATATCGTTCAGTGGGGTGACACTTTTATCTGCCAAAAGTATTCCAGATGACATTCCTACTGGTTTATACTGGCTGCAGCAGTCACTTAATTTGGGCCTTGGATTTTGGTGTGTAGTTTTCTATAGTACAGAACAGTCTCCCAGTACCCGCAGCATCGGGAACAAAGAACTTGCCTTTTGGTGGCTCAGATTGCATGCATTTATGGAGGTTAGGAAGGTTCGGGACTGTGTTCCCTTTGTTTGGTCAAATGCGTTCTATTTGAAAAGCCACCAGAAATACAAGCATACCCTTCCCACTGCTGGCTGGCCCAGACTTCTGTGAACACCGGAAGCATGCTGGGACTGGACATAGTGGGACAGCTTTCTGAACTAGCTTGGTTCAGAGGGATTCCGATCACCTAGGAACTTAGGCCTTAGCCTAATTTCAGAAGGGGGAGGATGCCTGGCCCAACTTCCACGTAACCCAGGCTGTAGCACCTGGGAAATTCACCAGGGCCAGGTAGCACACACGTAACCTGCTACGCCTTTGCTACAAATGGCCAAAACAGAACATCAAATGGACAGACTCTGGCTTTCCTTTCCATTCTTGGGGAGTGCCTCTGTATTCCTACACTCTGCTCTCCCCTGCCCTTTCCTTGTTTAAAGAGCCTAAACTCCAATTCTCTGTCATTTCCTGTTCCATTAATAAGCAAAATCTGTCTGTCCTTACTATTCTTTACAGGACACAGGATTTTGATTTCTGGGCTGTTCTTATTCCTTAAGCTGCTTTTCTACCTTAATATCTAAGACAAATAAATCCGAGTGTATTCATTTTTTCCCTTAAGTATGCCAAGTACCTCAGTTGTGAAGTCAAGTTCAAGAAGAAAGGCTTGACTCAAACCAGACATCTTGCTGGAATTTGTCTCGGAACACTCTAAAAATAAAAATCCCGAGCCGGGCTTTTCCCTTTCTAGCTGCACAGTGACGTGAGCTTCCCTCCCTGTGTCCCGGCCTCCAGCCGCCTCTGTTGCCGCCTCTGCCTGTTACTTAACCATTCAGCACGGGCGCGCTGCCCCCCCCCCCCCGCCATGCTTTGTTGATAGGGTTGGCATCATTTCTGAACAAATAACATATAAATGGTCCTACAGAACTCATGTCTAGAAAACTTGGGCTTTACCATATGTTTTCAAATTTGTGGCTTTCCTGACACTAAAGAGAGAACATGTTAAACAGAAACCACTTACTCTTGATGTACTCTTTGTGTTTGAGAATGTTTAGCCCTTCACTGGAATTTTGTTTTGAAAATATCTGTCTTTCTAGATTTACATTCATGTTCTTCTGATTCTGTTCTTTTGATGATAACCCAAATCAATTTATTAACCATTGTATCACTTAACTGAATAGTCAGTTACATATTGTTATATGAGTGGATATAATATTTTTATTATGGAAAATATTTAATTGTTTATATCTAACTACTACACCTTTCATTTGAATTACTCAATGAATTGGCAAATCGAAAACAACTTCTGCCTGCACTGTATTTTAATGTTACTCCCTCCATTGTATATGACAGCACTGCTGTATTATAAGAAAACCTAATACCCTAAAAAAGGGGGTTTGTATAGACGATAACTGAAAGTGCTTACTTGATTTGCAAAATAAATTTTTTTATTCAAAAGAATTAACATGCTCGTGTAAAATACTTGAGGGGAAGTGCTTTAAGAGAAAAAGATTTTTTTCACTCATCTGTGGACATTGGAATTCACAGAAAAATGTGACTCGAGATGGTTAGAACTGGGGGCTTACATAGAGGGGTAAATGAGTTTTAATTACAGGTTTTTAGAAGTATCTGCGCAGACTCAGTTTTCGAGTAATTGAAGTCCCGATCTAGCTGGACTAAGAACTGGCTAGCTGGAGCAAGAAGGAATTTACCTTTGGCTTATGATTAAAGTTCAAGAAGGGCAAAAGTCAAAATGCAATCAACCCCTCTCTGCACCTCTTACCTCACCTTTGGGTGGGCAGAATTCTCAGACCAGCTTCCATTGTGGACAACTGAAACACCTGCACGTCCCTGACCGCTTAGTGATTGGAGGGTTTGTTCACCTAGACGAAGCCTTGAAGAAAGAAAGGATCGGAAGCGAGCAGCCGCAGTGGCAGCCTGCGGACTTGCTGCGCAAGGAGGGAGCTCTTCGAGAGTCAACTCCGTGCAGGTGGCCTTCTGTGTAACAACGTCTGTCTGCTCCAGAGAAAAGCAAACCCCTTGGGAACGTGGATGAATGAAATAGCCCAGAAATTAATGTTAGGTATCTTTCATTTTCTCCAATCAGAAATCTACCAAAGTTAGAGAGTCAAATAAACCAGATCTGAGGTGAGCCATAAAGATCCTGAAAGTCCCCAAATTTTTGCAGACTTTTGCAGACAGATTTGCAGACTCAGCCCCTGTATTTATAGAGCAAGTGTGGGGTGCAGGGTGTGGGGTGCTGTGCACAGCCTCCCACCTGGTCCTGCTTTTACATCTGAGGGTGTGGCAACCTGAAAACCTAATCTTTGCCTGGGGCCTTTGATGGCTTTCAAAATAAGAACACAGCTTCAAAGAATGACATTTTCTAGAAACAGCTTTCTCTCTGGAACCAAAACCTCCGGCTTTCCACAGCAGAGCTCTGACCACACAGCGTCCTGCCAGTGGTGCCTCTACTGGGATAGCAGGTTGCTGGAGAGGGGTCCGGGCACTGGGCATCTGCATCCTTGACGTAAACAGGCAACACCCAGCTTCAGGTCGCCTTTTACATGTTGCAAACATGCTCATGACTGTTATTGCGCCAGCACGCTCAGGAACAAGGAGTTGAACATTTTACAAAGTCCTAATTCTTTTTCTCTCAGTTTAAATTAATCCCCACCCTCACCCCCCACTCATCGGTTCATGATTCTGAAGCTTCGGGTGAACTTAATATTAAAGCCCGGGGAGCTGCGCTCATGGTTTTCCTCAGCACGTCCTTCCTGCACTTACTGTCTCGCACAGGTGTTTGAATTCTTCCTCGGCCACCTCTGACTCCATCCACAACGTGTGTTCTCCCAGGAGGGAAGAAACAGCTGCTGCGTGGCCTCTTGTCCCTTGCATGAAAGTCAGTGTCTTTACCTACTACAGAAGCATTTTTTACTATTTCTCTTGCTTTTGTAGAAGTTTTATAGTGTGCATGAGCCTTACATCATCCTGAAAGACGCCGTAACAGGTGGTGTCTCCGGGCTATTTGTGAAAAGGTGTGATGAGATTTTAGGGAGAAAAGATGGAAGCCTGGGGGATCAAGATACTTCGTGAACCCATGAGAGCACTTATGGATTTTTTTCTTTTTCTCTTTTTTTTTTTTTTTTACATCATAGCTGTTGGATGCTTTCAACTGTAAGTAACACAAAACAAACAGCGGCTTATACCAAATGACATTTACTACTTAATTGAGTCTAGAAATATAGGTGATCCTCAGGGTTGGTTTGGCAGCTCAACATTGCTTTCAAGGACCCAGCTCTTTCCATCTTGCCATTCTTAGCCTCCTCTGTGTGTTAGCTTTCAGCTTCAGCCTTGGTATTACCTGGTCACAAAATGGCTGCCACAGCTCCAGGCATCATCACATCCTCACATGGCAGCGTGCAAAACAGAAAGCGAGGTGCACAAGGGCTCTTTTCATAGGTCTCTCTCCTTTTAGTCAAGGAGAAAGTTCTATCCCACTCCCACAAAAAACCCTGGATGTCTCATAGGCCAGGATGAGGTCACATGGCTACCTACAGCAAGACAGGTTGCAAAAGAGAATGTTTAGCTTTTGCAGCCCTTCTGGTGGGAGTAGGACAAGGAAGAGGGAAGCTGGAAGTCTGTTGGGTTGGCATTCAACAGTGTCGGTTACAGTGTTTGTGTGATTAACACAGGCTGTACGCTAGGGAGAAGGATATAATTAAGTTACCACCCTTTCGTGGCTAGAAATGCTTTAGGATGTCCTTTCCCTTTATTTCCAAGAACCTGTGGCTAATTTTATTTTATTCTATGCCACAGAATATTTTTACTGGTTCTCTGACCAAATTTTAATTCCTTTTTTTTTAATTCTAAAACTAATTCTTGGGATTTGTTCCAAATAACTTGCATATTTGAGGAAAAATAAATCTGTTAATGAACAAATTCACATACATGCTTATTTCTCAAAACTCCTCCCCAATCTGCAGGGCAATATCCTCAGCTTTGCCGAATTATTTTGGCCAAAGCACAGCATAACCCAGATACCACTCCCCTTCCATTCAACAGTGCTGTACCCCCGTATCATGAGGTTTATTTTTGCCTCGGTTGCCTTTGGCTGCATGGCAGAAGCACGCATTTCCCCCAACTCTCCTATCTGTTCTTGACCTCTGTTCCCAGCTTCCTGGTTCCTTCTTTTCCAACTATCTCCTATAAGAATAACTCAGAACATACATACTAGATCTGAAATTCACATGGTTGAGGGACAGTAAAAAAGTGAGTCTACAAAAAAAAAAAAGTGAGTCTACATCTGGCAGAAGTCAGGGTTGGGGAGGAACGGCTGTGGCACAGTTGGTGACCATCAGGCTTGCGAAGGGGGCAGTGGAACTTGCTGAACATCATGTTCTTTGTGGGATCCTGCAGATTCCCAGCGAAGCCAATTCCTTCATGCAACCGAGGACGGGTGCACCTGCAGAAAGTCTGCGTACGATGTGTGAATGCAGTTAAACCAGAAGGCCAGTGCTCAGTGAGAATGAAAAGCTGTTGAACTGAGCATGGTCAGGTCAATCCAAGTCTTCCCCATTAATACTTATGTGAAAGCTTTTGCTTGGTTATGAACACCGCAAGTGCCGGGAGACAGAACAATAGCCAAGTCCTCCAAGGTTTAGCAAACACTAAGGCAAAAAGTTTAAGGTTTGGAAAAGTCTATTAACTTCTGCTTGCCAATTAATAAAACCGTGATGATTTTGTTTTAGCGGCACAATATCTTGTTCTGGTTGCTAACCACCAGTGTTTATAGGCAGATAATTTCACAACCACTAATGCGATGAGTCAGGAGATCTGGGTTCAGCTCCCAGCCTGGCCACTCGCTGTGCTCTTGGGAAAACCACTGGACCTTGCCAAGCCAATGGTTCCCACATTTCTAAAATAACAGCAACAATAATAACGAGAATGGGAATCATTATGGAGCTTTGGTTTAGTGTATTTCAGGCACGGTTCTAAAGTCTTTCCCGCTCACTTACTCTTCATCACATCCCTAGGAAGTAAGCACTGAAATGATCTCTTTACAGAGGGGAAAATCAAGGCAGAGACGAAGTAACGTGCCCCACAAGCACCCAGCTGATACTCGGTGACTCCAGATTCAAACCCAAGCATTCTGACTCTGAGGAATAGAGACCCTACCCACTGATAGCACTTGGTAAGCATCAAATGAGGTAATAAAAAAAAAAAGTGAAAATGTTTTATAAAACTATAAAACCAATTGTGCAATTAACTGGAATCACCTACTCATAATTACCAGTAACGTTGCTTACACCACTACCCAAATAAGTACATTTCCCTTAACCCCACTCCCTTGCAACCTCCCCAGAGTACCAAGACAGATGAAGTTATTGAGAAAGATGCAGTATCCTAGCAAAAAACTAGTCCTGGGGCGCATGGGTGGCTCAGTCGGTTAAGCGTCTGCCTTCAGCTCAAGTCATGATCCCGGGGTCCTGGGATTGAGCCCCACATTGGGCTCCCTGCTCTCCCTGTCCCTCTGTCTCTCTTACTGCTTGTGCTCCCTCTCTCTCTTAAATAAATAAGTAAATAAATAAATAACACAAATCCTTAGAAAAGCTGGAGTATAGATTTTAGCAGGGATTGGAGGAACATAGATAACCTCAAGGAAATAACCATAAGCTCTCAAGTATTATATTATATCAGCCCTTCATATAAATCCCAGGGTGACTGTGAATGTTCATAATTTTATTCGGGGGTCTTTATATAAAAGGATTAATGTTGACATGAAGGCCACTGTCCAAGCCTTAGATTCATCCAAAGTGTAGACCTTAAATAATTCCTTATTATTTAGTTAGTATCTTTTTTTTTCTTTTGGTGATATGATAATTAGGATATTTCATTCTTTTTCTTTTTAAAGATTTTATTTTTTAAAAAAGATTTTATTTATTTATTTGACAGAGAGAGAGATCACAAGTAGGCAGACAGCAGGCAGAGAAAGAGGGGGAAGCAGGCTCCCCGCCGAGTAGAGAGCCCAATACGGGGCTCGATTCCAGGACCCTGGGATCATGAACTGAGCTGAAGGCAGAGGCTTAACCCACTGAGCCACCCATGTGCCCCTAAAAATTTTATTATTTTTTTTCAAGATTTTGTTTATTTATTTGACAGAGTGAGAGAGCACAAGCAGGCAGAGCAGTAGAGGGAGAAGCAGAAGCAGGCTCCCCACTGAGCAGGGAGCCCAATGTGGGGCTCGATCCCAGGACCCTGGGATCATGACCTGAGCTGAAGGCAGTCGCTTAACCAACTGAGCCACCCAGGCACCCCCTAAAGATTTTATTTTTAAATAATAATCTTTACACCAAATTCAGGGCTCAAACTCATAACGTTGAGATCAAGAGTCGCACACTCCACCGATTAAGTCAGCCGGGGTCCCTTGGATATTTCATTCCCAATCAACCAAGTCAACCAACTCTCTGTAGGACTATATGAGGGAAAAAAAAAAAAAAAATCAGCCACTTTTCAAAATTTCCCAGAAAGCTGGGCTACGCAAATCCTGTCTGGGCCCCTGGTAGCATTCACATCTTATCCGAATTCTGTTTTCTTTGCATAAAACCCTTCTTTCCTGCTTTCGGCTTACCATGGAAACCATGTATGTCCTGCTCTTCCCAAGCAAAGTGGGAATTTAGATCTCAGATGGTAGGAAGAAGGGGCACACTTGAAGGGCACACTTGCTTTTTACCCCAGCTTCTTGTATGTTAAAAAAAAGTATATATGTATAAAATGTGTGTACACACACACACACAGCTTCACCAGAATAAGCAAATCCATAGAGACAGAAAGGGGATTGGTATCTGCCTGGGGCTGAGGGGGTGGAGAGTGAGTGCAGAGGGGTACAAGGTTCCTTTTTGGGGTGATGACAATGTTCTAAAAATGGATTATGGTGACGGTTGCCTAAGTCTGTGAATGTACTGAGAACACACTTCAAATCAGTAACTTGTACACTGAACTCATTAAAAAACTGCTTTTTTAAAAAAACTTGTCCATCCTACACGTTCAGTTTTCGGAGGGAGAACCCAAGCCAGAGAATTGTGCAGTCGACTTCCTGGGTCACAGAGCGGGTTGCTCCCTGGAGGCCCCCCCTACTCCGGGAATAAGTGATTCCAGTTTCTTGCACACAGGGTCTTACAGTTTATAAAACATTTGTAAACCATTTTCACATTTTTTACCTTCGCATTTTGACCTTTTGACCTTTGACCTTGCCTGCACACCCCAGGATTCCCACCCAGTCTCCCAAGATGATGTTTTGGCTTCTGATAAATCCTAAATTTTTATTTAGTGATTAAGGTTCAGTGATAACTAAATGAAATGACCTAGTGCATCCCTCTGTTTAAAATGTTTTATGAGGAAGGGCGCCTGGGTGGCTCAGTGGGTTTAGCAACTCCTTTGGATCAGGTCACAGGATCGAGTCCCTGCCTGGCTCCCAGGTCGCGGGG